ATGAACACACACACACACCCCCCTGTCCCCAATATGTCCTAGCCTCGCCACCACACGCGCCCCGCTACAGGCGTGTGCCGCACGGGCGGCAAGAACAAGGGCAACTTTGACGAGCTTTGGGGCAAGTCCTACCCTGAGTGCCGCGACATGTGCCTCTTCAGCCGGGGCGGCAGCGGGGGGCCTCCCCCCCCCCCCCACACACACACACACCCGCCCCCCCACCTCAGCTCCTTCCTCTTGGTCGCAGCACACCGCGCTTTGGCCCGCGCAGGGTTCGAGTACACCGTCAAAGGCAAGGCGTCCCGCTGCAAGCTCTTCAAGGGCCCCATCCTCTCGACGCTGCCCGTCGGCGGCGCGAGCTGCTACAAGAAGGCGTCCAAGACGGAGCTCGGGCACAAAAGGTTTTGGACGTGGCCCGCGCAGCTCTAGGAGGGGGGGCGTCGGACGGCGTCCCAATCCTAGGGGGCGCCCTGCGGTGCTTTCGAGGAGGCCGATCGATGCGCGGCCCCGTTACCCTCGAGGCCGATCGGCAGGCCGACGCGGACCGTAGCGCTAAGTGGTATGGAGCCCCATGTACGACACCCCAGGGTCGACGCGCAACCGCAAATTGGAGAATGCAACGGGAATGAATCGTAACCCTCTTACTGTATCATGACGGATGGCATGTGCGCGCTCGGCGCGGGCTCGGATGCGTCTCGAGAACGCGTTGGCTCGCAAGATCGGAGATGTGTCTTTTGATAACGAGGTTCTTATTTTGGACCATAAACGAGGCTGGCAGCCCATAGCCATACTGCACATACGGGGTGTGGAGGGTGAGTTGAAGTAGGGGTTGTGCGCCGGGCCCTCCTGCTCGGCTCCAGCCGGTAGACAAGTCTTGTCATCAACAGAGTAGATGGATCTGACCTCGGGGCCGATGTGACCAAGCGCTGGTAGCGTGGTTTTACCTCACACCCATGGTCTCACAGTGTGCCGGCAGTCGCCGAGCAGTGTCGCTCACACAAGCCGCAGCACAAGTGACTGAGGGCCAGTGAGGGCGAGCCCATCGCTGTCACAGCTGTGGCAGCCGCACAGTAGGCTGTGTCAGCTGTGCAGAGTGTGTGAGCAGCTGAGGAGCTGCTCTCCAGGCTTCTGTCGCAAAGAGCTGCATGCCACCGAAAGCGCTGTCGAGGTTCGCCGAGCGCGGCGCAGGTTGGAGGACACCGTCATCGACGAGCGCGATGGAGTATTCACTCCGGACAAAGACGGCCACACGCACACGAGCTGCGGTCGTGTGGCCGTCATAGCGGCGAGGCGCGGGACCGTCTGTGGCGAGGTGGGTCGCGTACTCCGATTTTGTTCAACCCAGCATCCACACCCTTTGCATGTGCATGTGCACATGGACAAGAGAGTTGTTTGTTGTGTCATGGACATGCACATGACATGAACATGAACATGAACATGAACATGGACATGGACATGGACATGGACATGGACATGGACATGGACATGGTCATGGACATGCACACGCGAAATCCGGAAAGGCATATGCAAATAAATAAAAAATAAAAACGGACACCTCTCTACTGTGAGATGGGTACAAGGAACAGGTCCCCGCCCTTGCGATCTTTGTGCAGGGTTCTTTGTGGGTGTGGTCGGCGACTAGCCGGGGTCGTCCTCCCGATGGGGGACTAGCACTAGCCGTCTTCCACATGGTCCCTCGGGTCCCTGCTGCTCCTAATCTCTTCGTAAGGTCGCGTTCAAATGCCCGGAACGGACGTTACAGTGGTGTCCGGCCGGCGCGATCACCGAGCTGTGACGCTCAGGGAAGACTGATGAGGTGCTGGTTTCTTTGCCCAGGGCTGGCCTTCCCCCCAGGCTGGATCAGCTGAGCAAGGTTTGGGGAGAATCCCCCGGTCAGATCTTCAGATATTTTAACGGATGACCGAAATCACCCCGTTTTTGCCCATTTTGATGTTGAGAGTGGGCGCCTTCTGCTCCTTGGACTACTTGGGGCGCACGGGGGCCTTGCCCTTGTCAGAGAGGTTCTTCTTTCTCCTCTGCGCGCGACGGGAGTGCGGGGGCGGGGTTGCGCTCGGCGCGCAGCGCGTTGCGCTCCTTGAGGACGGGCCGGTCCGGGGGGACGGTGCCCAGCGCCTCGGCGAGGGTCGGGTCCTCTGCGAGCTCCTTTTGGGGGCGCGAGCCATAGAGAGAGCGCGTACCTCGTGCCTCTCCAAAAAGAAGAATCTCTCCGCAAACGCGCCAACCCCGGTGATGTGCTATGGCGAGAGCAGCCGGGCGAGTATACGCCATTTCTTTTTCGCGAGGATCTCTTTTCGCGCAGAATGTCTGCTCCGTCGACGCAGGCCGCTGCGGCGCCCACGGCGCCCAAGAAGAAGAAATCGAGCGCCAAGCTGAAGCGGCTGAGCGGAGAGGCGCTCGCCGCCTACAACGCCCGCATCCAGAACTGCGGCGTCTGCTACATCGCCCGAGTTCCGCCCTACATGAAGCCATCGGCGCGCGACCGCACCAAAACATGCTTGTGGCCGTGGGTGCACGGCTCACCAGCACCTCGTCCGCCACCCGTCGGCGGCGTGGACGGCCAATCTCGCCCTCTCTCTCTCCCTGCAGTGTGTGGCACGGCCGACGCCCGCCCGGGCCTGCGCGCCGGCAGGCGCTGCGGAAGCTGCTCTCCGGGTACGGCACGGAGGTGCTGCGCATCTACCTGAAGCAAGAGGACCCCGCCGCGCGAGCGCGCCGCATCTCTGGCGGCGGCAACCGCAAGCGCTCCTTCTCAGAGGGCTGGGTGGAGGCGCGGACACTCTCGAGACACGCCTCCGACGCGCCTCTGACACGTCCTGCAGCCCACTCTCTGGCCAGCTTTGCAGCCGCCACAAGCTCCCCCTCACCGCCCGCCCCTCCCTCGCTTCGGCGGCTGCAGTTTGCGGACAAGCGGCGCGCACTCAAGCTCGCAAACACGCTCAACAATACGCTGGTGGGCGGCGGCCACCGATCCTTCCACGCGCAAGACCTCTGGAGCATCAAGTACCTGCACAAGTTCAAGTGGGACAGCCTGACCGACGCGCAGGCGCGGAGTCTAGCCGAGACCCCTAGCCGAGACCCCGCCCGTCTCTGCCCACGCCACGGCCGAGATTTGCCGAGATGTCGCGAGTGTGGCCTGACCGTTGTCGCCTCAAACACGCACACACACGCACACGCACACTCGCACTCACACACACACACGCACACACGCACTCACGCTCGCACTCACACGCACACGCACACACACAGCACGCCCCGGCCCTGGCCCCTGCTGGCCCCGCGTCTGACGCGGTCGCTGCCCGCACCTACGGGGAGATATTGGGAGATACGGGGATACGGGGAGGGGCAAGTAGCACTGGCTGCTGTCCGCACCTTCGGGGAGATATGGGGAGATACAGGGAGATACAGGGAGGGGCAGGCTGACGCGGTCGCTGCCCGACGCCGCAGGCGCACGAGGCGCGGACAGCGCAGGACCGGATGCGCGCGGAGCTGTCGCAGTCGAAGAAGGAGACGAGCTTCTACATGAAGCAGGTGCGAGACGCGGCCGAGGGACGGCCGAGATGCCGCTGGGGTGTGGCGGGGGCGTGGGGAGGACGCACCCTCCGACAGGAGCAGGGGAAGGAGCCGATCGAGGCCGGCAGAGTGCGTCCATGACACGTCCATGACACGTCCACGCCACGACACGCAGGTCGGGCAGGCAAAGGCGATCGAGGCGATGGCTGCGCGCAGAGCACGCAAGGCCGCCGCCGCCGCCGACACCGCCGACACTTCCTCCGCCGCCCCCGTCGCCGCAGCCGCATCGCCTCCTGCCGCTATCGCCGCCGCCGCCGCGTCCGCCGCACCCGCCTCCTCCTCCAAGGCCAAGGTGGGGGCTGGTGCCGCGGGTGCAAAGCGGAGGCGCGACGCCGCGCCGGCGCCGCCGTCGGCCGGCTCGCCCGCAGGGGAGAGGAGAGGCGCCGAGCGTGCGGAAGCGGCGGCAGGCGGAGGCAGCTCCACGGGGCTGGTTCCCCCAGCTGCGAGCTCATTTCTCTTCACGGCGCTCCAAATAGGCGCCGCGTCGAGCGGGCTCGCTTCGGTGCGACGCAGTTTCAAGCAGCGGCGCGTGCAGTCGGGCGAGGGGCGGCGGACAAGCAAGCTCGATGCTTCTCTGCTGCTGCCTGGCGCGGAGTGAGGGGCGTCAACTGGCAGCGGGGCGTGCGTTTGCTCCTGGTGGACCGACCCCAGCCCACTCTGTGGCCGGTCTGGAGACTCTTTTCGAGTCGTCGGGAGTCAGGCCGTGTGCGTGAGCCGTGACTGGCTGACTCACCTTTCAAGAGCTGTGTGTGGCTATTACCCTCTCTCAAAATGTGCGTTATGAAGACCAGTGTATGTATAGTGACTGTCGGCGCCGGCTCTTGCCTTTGCGCTTGGGGCGTGTACTGACACAGGGACAAGCCTCAGGGCCGCCTCAAAAGGTCCCGTCGATGACGCGTCTCGCGTGACGCGTGGTGCAGGCACCAGGCTCAGCCACGCCCCACGCGGCTGGTGCTTGGTGCTGGCACTGGCAGGTGCGACTGCGAGGCGGTGGTGGATGGTGGTGTGGGACTGTGGTGTCGGTGCGTGTGTGGTGTCTGGTGACTGGTGTCATCCGGCGAAGTGTATCTTTCTCTATAGTGAGACACGTCCCGCCGGGAGCTCTTGTCGCGCCTAGCGCACCCCTGGGAGGGATCACACTTTTCGCCCCACCGCACCCCTCTACCCTCAGTCCCGGGAGCCGTAGCCGCTACCCCGCACACGGAGGGATCACACTCCTCGGGCCCCCCTCGACCCTCAGTCCCCAACAAACATGTCCCGCGCGAGCCGCTCACCCGCAAACAAGGGGGTCAGACTCCGCCGAGCGAGCGAGGGGGACAGCAAGGCGCTGGCTGGCGCTGCCGTCTCTTCTCACCCCGCCGCTGCTCGCCGCTGCCGCTTACCTCACGGCCACCACTGCTCCCCCTCGGCCACCTTCATGACGCGCCGCTGGCGCAGCGCCGCTGCAGTGCTCTGCTGGGCCGGGGTTTGGCCGCTGCCGCAGCTCAGAGGCCCCCAGCCAGCTGCGGTAGCCTCCAGCTCCCAACCAACTGGGTTGACCGAGCCGTCCTTGTTGTACCTGATGCCGCCCTCGAAGTTGGTCGCCTCGCACATGCCGTTGCGAATGATGCCGTCCGGGTCGGGAGCCCCCACGAACTCCATGGCGAGCTGCGCACAGGGGGAGGGGGGGGGGGGTGAGTTAAGGGGTGGGGGGGGTGGCGGGAGGCTTGCCGCGGGCTCACCAGGCAGCCGTTGACTGCCGTCCAAACATCGGGGCTGGCAGTGTCGCACTTGTTGCACGGGTCCACGGGCTTGTTCTTGTTGTAGCTCTCGTGCTCGTTGTCGTCGTAGCAGACGCCGTCGATGAAGCAGAAGCCAGGCACGACATTCCTCCCCGCACCCGTCGGGCGACGCCCGCCCTCGGGTGCAGTGAACTCAAGCTTGTCCGCGGTGGAGTTGCAGCTGTAGCAGTGATGGCCTACGTACGGCGAGGACGTGCCATCCTTGTAGCAGTAGCGGTCGATGTAGCAGTAGCCGTCGTTGACGTTGGACTCGTGGACGCCGACGGCCTCGTCGCACGAGTTGAGGCACTCGGGGTGGTGCGAGGAGACCGACTTCAAGTTGACGAGGAAGGCGTGGGGGGGGCTGGTCCCCGAGCTCTTGATTGTTTGCGCGTCGTGCATCACGTTGTCGCGCTGGAGATCGCCCCAGCGGAACTTGGAGGGGCCAGAGTAGACCCCGCCCCCAACGTAGATGTCGCCAGAAACCGCGTCGGCGGTAAACGCGAAGAAGTAATCGCCGGTGCCGCTGTCGCCGACCTCGTCACTACCGCCGTCCATCGCCCACTTGCCAGCGCCGGTCGTGGCGTCGTAGGCCACCACAAACACCTGCGGCCGGCGAGGTGGGGCATGGGGGTGTGTCACGAGAGTAAGCCATGAGCGGTGGGGCGGTGGGGAGGGGTGGTGGGGGTGGGGGTAGGGGGGGCGCACGTCGTATTGTCCGATGGAGCGCAGCGTCATGGTCGCGTTCTGGTCGTCGGTGAGCGTCAGCCAGCCAGCATAGATCTGGCCCATGGCCACGACCTCGTCTTCAGGTTGGCCGGCGCCCCTCATTACCTCCATTCCTCGAAAGCCGTGAGACCCCGAGGGGATGATGTCAGTCCACAGGACGTCCTTCGTCAAGTCGTTCGAGGTGTCGATGCGGCTCACCTGGGTCTTGGCGCGATTGCCTCTCCCATCGACGACCGGCCCGGTCATCGCGAGTAGGGTGCCATCGCGCGACACTGACAGAGTACTCGAGGAACCCTGGACGGACCAGCCGGAATCAGGGCCGCGTTTGACCCACAGGGCCTCGCCCATTGAGTTGTACTTGATGAGGCCGGCGCCGGTAGTACTCTGACCGACGAGGTTCACGCGAGTCGCGTCGATCTCGCTCGGGGCAACCACGCCGTTGCCAAAGTCCGCCTCAAAGGCCTAAAGGTGCAGCGAAATGCGTCGGGGCCTGCTGCGTGGGTAGGGGGGACAGGTGAGGGAGTGTCAACACCTGTGCCATGTTGAAGCCGCAGAAGAAGGACCCGTCCACCGTCGCGCGGCATCGATCGAGAACGACGCCCTCCGGGAGCTGCTTGCGCCACACGGTGGAGCCATCCCCCGAGGCCAGGCAGGTCTGTTCACAGCGGACGCTGTGAATGGGCGAGGTTCACAGCAGGGCAGAGCGGACGGTCGGGGCGGACCAAGTACTCCGCGCAGTCATACGGCTCCCCAACAGTTGTCGTGGTGCCGCGCCACCCGGTTGTGACTACCACTTTCGTCGCATTGAACGAATCGCAGCCTTTGTACGAGAGGATCATGTTGCCGTTCGCGTCGCCGTCGGCCGCGCGCACGATTACGTACCCGGGGTGGTCCTCGTCGAGGATCTTGTACCACCCGGTTGTGCCGGGGCCGATGCCAGCAGCCTTGGAGACGTCCAGCTTGATCATCAGCTGGACCTGAAGCGGAGGCGGCGGGGGGGGGGGGGGGGGGCTACGTGAGAAGAGAAGGGAATGATGGTAGGAGGAGGGGAAGTGCGCCTGCTCGTTGGTGTTCAGCCGAGCGTCGCCATTGGCCATGTAGGCGGAGTCGAGCGTCGTGCCGTCGGGCAGCGTGAGCTGCTGCCGGAACCCCATCTTGACCGACAGGTGGTTGTCGTCGAGCATGGCCTTGATGCCGTCGTACGAGTCGACTTCGTTGGTCTGCGCGCCGTGTCCGATGCTGCCGACCTGCTTCGCCGTCCCCTCGAAGAACCACGTCTGCAGGAGCTTCCCCGTGGAGTCGGTCTCTGACAGTTGCAGGTGCTGCGGCGCGGGAGGGTGGGTCGTGCGCGCGGGGGTGGGTGGGGAGGCGGAGGAGGGAAAGGCGGCCGGCAGCGGCAGCCAGCGCCGAACACCGAGGGTACGGGTTGTGTGGAGAGTGAACGCCGCGACGCGATTCGTGTACCTGGTCGTCGGAGGTCGCATCCATGACGCGGACGGCACCCGGCACCGGTGCCACCATCCCGTTCGAGTTGTAGCCGACGGGAAGGTAGGTCCCCTTGAAGTATCCGCCCGTGTACACCTTGCCGTTCATCGCCCCGGCGGCGTAGTTGAAGGATGTGCCCGCGCCTTCGTCAGCCTGGAAGTACTCCACATCGGGCCTCTGCAGATGCGGGCGGCGGCGCGGCGGGTGAGTGGCGGGGTGGACGACAAGCGAAGTGGTGGTGCGCGCGGGCAGCGGGGCGTTGCTTCATCTCCTCAAGCCGCGCTCTTGTGTTCCCCGCGCCGCGCGCTCTCTCCGCGCGGCCCTCTCCTTTGCCGCCCTCTGCGCGCCTGCGCGCTATCTCAGCGCCCCACTCGCATTGCCCCGCCTCTCAAGTGCCGAGGCAGGTACGTGGCTCGCCGCGGGCGGCGGGGCTCACCGAGCACGAATTCCAGCCGAGCGCCAGCGGCAGCAGCAGCGCGGTGACGTACAGCTTCCAGTTGATCATGATGATGGGGTGTTTTGGATCTGCGAGCGCGCAGGCGACGGCGGGTCAGCAGCATGAAATGGGGTGCGCATGGTGGGCTCGCGCGGGGCTAGGGTGGCGAATGGGCAGCAGCGGACGCGTCTCGCGGCTCGTCGATGCCGCCAGGTGCCACGACCGCGGTCGCGAGGCTCGTGGCGATGGATGCGCCAGACCCGCTTGCGCCGCCGCCCTCAACGCCAGATACTCGATCAGAGCCGGCGGAGCGACGGCGGCGGAGAGTTGCGGCCGCCGGCGACCTTCCCCTTGACCATGAATGTAAGTATGTGTATGTTGTTATGTGAGACGCTCCCGGCGGAGCGACTCATTCATCTTGGCTTGGGTCTGCTGCGCGCTGCTCCGGGGGAGCTTTGTGCGTGACAGGGGCTTGGCCTGCGGCGGTGGAGCCGGCGGCCAAAAGGCTGGCGCGGGGCAAAACGCCCGTCCGCAAGGTCTCGCGCCATGCGCTGCGGTTCGCGGCGAGCTCGGGCCAGCGCGTCTTGTCGATGCGGAACATCTCGAGCGCCTTGAAGATGGAGCGGCCGTACGTCATGGACGGCGAACCTTCGGGCGGCGATGGGGCACCCACGCCGAGAGCAAGCGGCGAGGGAGCCTCGTCTCGTAAGGCATGCGGCTGACGTGTCCAAGCCACCGGAGCTGCCGGCGAGCGATGTAGAACTCGATGGAGTCCAACCCCAGCCGCTGTCCCAGCTCTTGGGTCGAGATGTGAAGCTCAGAGAATTTTGGAAAACGAATCTCTGTGCACTGTGGACTGTGGGCTCTGGCGAGGGAGACTGGTTTGACGGCACCGTCTCCGAGTACAAGTCAAAGCTCGAGCCAGACGGCCGGGGCGAGAGAGTCGAGCGTGGTGAGGCGCGAAGAGAGCGACCGAAGATGCTCAAGTGCGCACCTCGGCCTCCGCTGGGGAGAGGTCCTCTGCACGCCTCCTCGTGGCGCCCGAGAGCCTCCCGTAAGCCTCTCCGACCTCTTTAAAGTGCCGCTCCGCGCGTGCGCGCTCCTCACCCAAGTGGCGGTCGGGATGATGCGCGAGCGCCTTTGCTCGGTACGCCGCCTTGAGGTCCTCTGGGGAGGCATCCGCAGCAACACCGAGCAGTCGTCGAGCGGCGTCGTGGGAGGTGGAGAGCTGCCGGGACAGGGTGAGAGAGGAGCGTGGCCGGAGCAAGCATCCGTCGGCCCCACGACGTTAACACGGCTGCGACAGCCGGAACCGAGTCGGTGGAAAAGAATTGCAAACCGCACTTTCAGACGACACTCGGCACAGGAAAGAAACAGTGGGCAGACCCAAGCCGATGCGGTCGCTGCCTGCGCTGCCGCCCACACCAAACTCTCCGGCCAAGGCTCCGTCGCCACGCACTCGCCCTCCGCCTGCGCTGCCTCCCACACCAAGATCTCCGGCCAAGGCTCCGTCGCCGCGCACTCGCCCTCCGCCCTCAAGGACGCGGGCGGGGAGGCCCTCGCCGCGGGCGACATCGTCCGCGCGACTCATATGTACACGATGGCCATCGACTTGGTCCTCGAGGGCGAGGCGCCGCCGGCGAGTGGCGCAGATTGGTTCGCGCTGGACGCCAAGAGCGGCGGCGTGCTCCACGCGCTGCTCTCCAACCGCTCGCTCACGCTGCTCAAGCAAGAGGACGCTCCGGCGGCGGCAGAGGACGCAGAGCACTGCACATGTGCTCGGCCTGACTGGCCCAAGGGCCACCTGCGCCTCCTCGCGGCGCTCGACGCTTCCTTCACGCCGCTCGAGGAACGCCGCCGCGTGTGCGCCCGCGCGCTGCGCGCATGCCCCGGCCACCGAGCGCTGCACGAGGCCATGACGGTGCTTGACGCTGAGGCGGCCACCGCCGCTGCCGGCAAGCCGGCCGGGCGCCGCGCCGAGGAGGAAGAGGCGGAGCAGATCGCGGCGACGCGGCGCGTCGCGGAGGACCCCGGCGACCCGCGCCGATTCATGGCGGCAGGGGACTTCGGCTCGGCGCTCGCGGTCGGAGCGTTTGGCTTGCAGAAGGACGTGGCCGCGGCGGAGGTGTACCTGCGAGTGGGCGCCGACGGCGGCGACGCGGGCGCCCAGCGCAACCTCGGCCTCCTCCTCCTCGAGCTGGCGGGCTGCGGAGGGCGCCGAGATGCTCCGCCGGGCCGCCGAGGGCGGCGACGAGAGCGCGGCCGCGACCTGCGATCAGCTTCTCTCCGAAGCAAAGGCGCGCGAGGAGGAGGCGCTCTTCAAGCTGCGGGCGCTGGCGAGCGGCGGCGACTCGCGAGCGCGCGCCGTGCTCGAGCAGCACGAGGCGGAGCGCGCGGCGGTGACTGCTCGGGCCGGCGCTTGATCCGATCACTGCGAGGTGTGGACCCAACCCAGTTAACAACCGTGAGGTCGCGTAGGATCTCCTTGTCTTCTCCTGCATCTAGTCGCGTGCTCGTGGCGTGTTCCGCCCGCCTTGATCATTCATGGCGTCATCCCCGAGGTGCAATCGGTTGCGTGTGTGCTGTGAACGGCGTGTCCGCGGCTCCGCCCTCCGCGCTCGTTTTCTCTTAGTTCACTATTATATTGCACAACGACATAGAACCGTACCAGCCGCTTCGGTTGCTGAAGCTGATGCTGTTGCTCGCTCGTGCGGGTACGTGGGTCAACTCGTGCACCAGGCTCGTGCATTTTGCACTCCGACTCCCGCCACGCCGCACGCGCCTGTTGGCCAAAGTACAGGTTTCGTCTTAGGGTACCCCTAGGGTTCTGAGGGCCGGATTGTTTTAAGACCTTTTAGGAAATGAGGAGGTTTGGGGGCTCAAATTGTCATTTAAGAGATTGCAGGCACGGGGGGTCCCTCTTTTAAGTCTGTTTAAGCGAAAATCGGCCTCACCGGCACGCGTCGCTGGGTTCCGCGCCGTTTTATCCAATACTGCCTTTATTAGGCACAAACCCGCCTCTGAAGACACATCTGTAGGTCTGGTGCACTGGCAGGAGCCATACTCGCATAGGGGACGCGTGCCAGCTGACTGTAGCCAGCTTCCCGGCCTCCGGCGTCTACCGGGAGCCTCCCGGACCATCGACCTCGGGAGCTCTCCCGCACCGTTTAAGCGTTTAAGACCGTTTAAGGAATCGGCGGCCCAGCAGCTCTTAAAACCGGCCTAGGCCGGTTTTAAGCCGTTTAAGCCGCAGGCGCCCCAGGGCCCACCCGTTTAATCCTAGGGGTACCCTAAGGGTTTCGTCTCTTTCGATCCGGGCCACCACAAATTTTGATCAGCAAATTTCGAGGGGCGGCCGCAAATTTTGAGGTAAGATTTTGATTGTCAAAACACGTCCGTCTTGCCGCAGGATAGAGCATATAGGCGGCGAACACTCACACACGACATCCCACCACTCAACAGGACGCGTTAACTTCCCCACGAGACACGGCTAACGCGCAGGCGCACATGAGTCGGCATTTGGTGGCGTGAGGAGTGAGGAACGCTACTGGCGGCGCGAGAGGGCCTCTCTCCGCTGCGTGTGTTGCCCATCGGCACGCGGGTGCGCAGAATCGCGACTCTCCCGCTCGCTCGACCCTTTTGCCGCGAGAGGGCGCCGGCTGCGTGTAACAGGTGGCTGGCGCCCTGAGGCGGCATTTGGTGGCGTGGGGAGTGCGGAACGCTACTGGCGGCGCGAGAGGGCCTCTCTCGGTTGCGTGTGCCGCCCATCGGCACGCGGGTGCGCAGACATCGCGACTCCTGCGCGACTCTCCCGCTCGCTCGACCCTTTTGCCGCGAGAGGGCGCCGGCTGCGTGTAAGAGGTGGCTGGCGCCCTGAGGATCTGAGGCGGCATTTGGTGGCGTGGGGAGTGCGGAACGCTACTGGCGGCGCGAGAGGGCCTCTCTCGGTTGCGTGTGCCGCCCATCGGCACGCGAGTGCGCAGATATTGCGACTCTCCCGCTCGCTCGACCCTTTTGCCGCTAGAGGGCGCCGGCCGCGTGTAAGAGGTGGCTGGCGCCCTGAGGCGGCATTTGGTGGGGTCAGCGTGCGGTGCTGAGTCTTACTCGTCGGCGCTGGGGCCAGATCCCAGCGCAGAACTCTGCAACGCTGGCATACAGAAACAACAAGACTAACCGCTTAACCCTAACCCCAACCCTAACCCCAACCCTAACCCTAACCCTAACCCTAGGTCAGCGTGCGGGGCTGAGTCTTAGTCGTCGGCGCTGTGGGGCCAGATCCCAGCGCAGAACCCTGCAACGCTGGCATATACAGACACAACAAGACTAACCCTGACCCTGACCCTAACTAACCCTAACCCTAACCCTAACCCTAACCCTAACCCTAAGCTAACCCTAATAACCCTAACCCTAACCCACCCCCCAATTCCACACCGCGAGTTTGAAAGATCTTTTTGGAAATCAGGCGACTGCAAATTTCTTCAAAATTTTCGCAGGCGCCCCGCGCCTGCAGATACCAGATTTTGAAATAAATTCGACAAAATTGGTACCTGGCCCAACGCGCCTGGCGGTGGCCTGTGAGGCCTCGCGGCCAGTCAGCCAGTGTTCCACATCCGTCCTGAGCAGAAACGTGCGATGCATCCAGGGCCGCACCGTGTTTGACTGCAGCCCGTCGGTGTGCACGCGAACGATGGGCGCGCGCGAGTAGATGATGACGAACTTGATGAGCGAGACAATCAGGCCAAAGAGCAGGCCGGACAAGAAGTTGCACGCCATGAGCAGGGGCACGACAACCACGAGCAGCTTGTCGACGGTGTCGTTTGTGCGCCGGATGGTCTCCAAGCCCTCGCCCATGAATCCGATGCCCATGTGCGCCATGTAGGCGCCAACGACCGCGCGTGGCACCGAGGCGGCCACGTCCGACACCACCAGCGTGGAGCAGGCGGCAAAGAGGACGACCCACGGGCCCGCGCGCGCACGACCGCGCAAGCCGCGACTCAGGCTCATGTTTGCCACGCTTGGGGATAGCTGCACGTAGTTGGGGATGGTACCAACGCACGCGGCGAACAAGTTGGCCATGCCGATCGAGCTGAGCTCTCGATCGAGGTCGAAGGAGGCGGCCGCGGGCGGCGGTCGCTCGGTCTCGCCCTGCCGCGACGCAGGCCGCGCCGTCGCGACCGCCTCGACCGAGACGAGGTCTGTGATGGTCACGAGCGAGTGCACCAGGCAGCAGGAGAGGGAGTAGGGGAGAGCCGAGAGGACCACCGCCCACTGCACCTCTCCGAACGAGAGTTGCGAGAGGAGCCCCAAGGGCGAGGAGGCCGAAGGGTCGGCGTCGGCGTCGCCGCCCTCGCCGCCGCCCTCGCCGCCGCCGCCAAACCACCAGTGCTGGTCCAGCTTGGGCAGGCCGACGAGGGGCAGTGCGTGCGCCAGCAGGGTGGCGGCGGCGAGGAACAAGACGCCGGCAATCGGCGAACGAACGAGCCACTGCACAGCCGCGAGGGCGCAGATGAGGACAAGCGTGCACGCGATTCGAATCTGCGTGCCTGGATTGCCCACAAGCGCGCCCCACTCCATCTCTCCGCCCGACCCGGTCTCGAGGCCTTCCACAACCATGAAGAGGCCGACGCCGCCGAGCGCGGCCTTGAGAACGATGAGCGGGATGCATCTGAAGATGCCGCCCAGCTTGCAGCGGCCGACACACGTGTGCAGCGTCCCGACGAGTGCGCTCGTCATCGAGTAGGTGGCGATAAGCGTAGAGGCGCGAGCGGCGACGGGCAGCGCAGGGTCGATGAGTTCGGCGATTGGAACGAGGAGAGGAACGAGCTCGAGAGTGGCGCCGGCGGTGGCGTACGGGAACCGGCTGAAGAGGCAAGCCGCCGCCTGGCCCACGATGATGGACAAAAGGAAGAGGTGCACGCCGGCAGAGGACGAGAACCCCAAGGCAGCTGGCAATATCAGCGACCCAAAGGATGCAGCGGTGACGTCGGCCAGGATTGTGAGGAAGGCGGCGATCGGCAGCCGGCTGAGGAACGAGCTTGCGATGCAAATGCCGCGCGGCCGCGGGCAGCGCGTGCCTGTCTCTTCTGGCGACGGGACGTCGACCGGCTCAATGTCAACAGCCACCTTGCAGACCGACCGGCGCGTCATGAGCGACGAGACGGGATGCGTCCAGCGTCGGACTCCTCGAACACCGCTAAAAAGAATTTTACCACCCGCGGTCGCACGACACGATTCACGCGACAGGCGAGGCGCGGGCGACGGCTTCCTCAGAAGCCGTCGCCCGCTAAAAGGAATTTTACAACGCCTCCCTCGCACAACACTGGGGGACTGGCGCGCACTAAAAAGAAAATTGCATGGCAACGAAGGCGCTCTCACAAAGAAAAATGGAATTTTGCCGGTGCGGGACAGCCGCACACACATCCCGAGAGAGCGTGTGCCGTACGCTCACTCGGGAGGACTGCCAACGTTCCACAGCTCGCGGTCTTCCTACCTACTCGAGTATTCTCGTCCTCTCGCCTCCCCGGCTGTATTCCATTCTGTGTCGAAGTTTCCACCCTGTTCATCCTCAGTGTCCATCAAGGGGGGGCGCGCGAAGAGAGCCTGGCCGGGTGTTTTCGGACGCCTCGACGCCGACACCACGGGGCTCATCGGTGAGGAAACGTGAAGAACGTAACGAATCGTCGGAGGGCGGGAGCCGGGCGCCCTTCTCGTCGATGGGCTGCTGCGGCTCCGTCAACATCGCACCAGAGACGGATCTCCCTCCTCCGGAGTGGGGCAAGCCACTCAAGGTGCGCCTCAAGAAGAAGGGCTTCTTCAGCGCCGACTACGACGTTCTCGTGACGCTGGCGGATGGCGAAGAGGTCAGGTGGATGCTGCTGGACGCGGTCGGCTCCTTCTGGGATAAGGGTTACTCCTACTTCCTGAAGCATAGATCGCCTGGGCAGTGGACGCGGCGGGCAAGAAGACGAGTACGGTGCTCGGCGCGGTGAACATCAGGGGAGAATGGGACGCGTTCTCCTTCAAGGTATCGGGAGGCGACCGCGACGTTGACATTGGTCCCTATCTTGACCTTTGGGAGGGGAATGTGGACTGGGGCATATCCTCGTCGCAGAGGATGTGGGCAACCTGGACCCTCTCCAAGCGCGCAGTGCTGTACTCTGATGAGGCAATGACCAACCAGATTGGTTGGCTCGACGTGACTGGGAGTGGGACGTGGTTTGAAGAGGCGCACTGCCCCTGTCCTCATTCAACTCCACACGTGGCACGCTGCCACTGTGGCCCGCTACGCCGCCCTTGACTCCATCCTTGCTCCTGCCCGCCCAGGTGCGTACGCGCATTGTGAACGACACAGACGCGGATGGGAGGTCAGTCACGCGGCACGAGCAGTATCGGCACACGGACTGCAAAACGCGCGGCTTCCGGTACAAGTTTAACATCTTCAACACTCCCATGACAATACGCTACTCGGACAATCTCGCCGGAGGTCGGTTTTGGGAAAAGACGGCACTGAAGATCAAGGCTGTCAATGCTTTCGCTCCCGACGTTCCGCTTTTCAAGTGCACTGGTGACGGTGAGCAAACCTGCTCCATCGAGACCTTTGAGAACTCGGACCCAGTCTCGACCTTGCTGGCTGCGTACGCTATATCGTGCAAGCTTGACCCAAAGGACTTCAACCATCGCGCAGACTCGATGTGTGAGAGGAACTTGTGGCTCGGCATGCCGCCGGGAATGTCCAATTTTGTGGGCATGCCGGAGGCGGAATTTGAGGCTCGCTTTGCATCATACCCGGCGCCTGTGCCCGTGGCCTTCGCCACCCAGGTCGCCGCCTTTGCGCAAGGCTAGTCGATGCCAGACGCTCCTGCTACTGCTGCTCGTGCTCTAAGCTAGGTGCTGGGAGATAAAGCTTAAACGCGGCGAGCTCGCACGCCTTTCACGTTATACGACATGTTTATGTTATTTTAGGAAGCAGACAAAAAGAACGAGTGCCACAGCCCGGGACGCACATCTCACCATAAGTTATTGAACCGCGCCCGTGTGGCGGCATTCGCGCGCCATGTACCACGCCGCTGTTCGTAGCGTGCGCGGAGGGCCACGTCGACATCGTCCGGCTGCTCCTCGAGGCTGGCGCGGCGGTCAACCAAGCCCGCAACAACGGCGCCACGCCGCTGCTCGCCGCGTGCCTTGGCGGCCACCTTGAGGTCGCCAAGCTCCTCTCCTCCTACGGCGCCTCGCGTGCCGCAATGCCGCCCTTTGGCACGCCCGAGGAGATTGCGAACCGCGACGGCCACGCCGACCTCGCCGCCTGGCTGGTCGCCAGCCGCGGCTGGACGCCGCTCGCGCACCTTGAGACCCTCACCGCCGCCCGCACTCTCTCCCTGCTGCGCAGCGGCGCAAGCCTGCACGAGGGCGAGCCGACGCCGCTGCAGCGCGCCGCGGGCGGCGAGGGCGAGGCGGCGGCGCTGGTTCGGCGGGCGGCGGCGCCGTGGTCGCCGGCAAACCACTCGCTCTTCCCCGCGGCGGCCCGCGCGCGGGCGGCGCTCCTCGTCGTCTCGCTCTACGAGATCCACGAGCGGCACCATCTCGACTCGGCAGGAAACACGAACGGCATCGCGGCGCGCGACTTTGTCACGTGCGTGCTGCGCTTCGCGATCACGCGCGAGACGGAGTAGCGGAGCACTGCAGTGGCCCTGCTCTCACCTTGGCACCGCCGCAGCGGTGCCTCTCCTGTTGTTTAGCACTCAACCGTGACGATCGGACTGCGAGTCTGCGTGCCGTCCGTCCGCGAGCTCCCTCCTCCCTGCCCGGTTGCACTGGGGAAGAGCATGCGCAGACCGCAGTAGCTTGTACTAATAAACGTAACAATAAATAAAAGACACCTCTACTACAGGAGAGGTCCCCGCCCGTTTGCGGTATCTTGATTCTTGTAATGCCACATACCAATAACCATTCCTCGCGGACTGCTCGAGCTCATCGAGCACCGGGGTCGAATCGGCGGGCGCGACCTCCTTCAAGAAGAAAAATCTCTCTCTCTCTCTCTCCTCCTTCATGATGCCGGTAAAGTTGAGCTGTGAGAGAGAGAGATTTTTATTAACCAACAAGAAATCACGGCTCTCATTGAGCTGTGTGAATGCTGCGCGAAGAATATTTTTTTCGGGCCTTTAACCGTCCGGAAGATTTCTTCTTCACCACCCGCAAAAACGCTCGGCCGGTCGGCCCACACGACGGGTCCGTGGTTGTGTTTTTGTGTCTGAGCTTGTGCGTCTTGGGGCCGTTGTGTTTTTGTGTGAACAGCTCATTGAGCTGTTCCACAGCACGCCCGGGCCTTGCGTAGGGCGGGCCCGCTGTTGTGTGAAAGCGGCAGCGATGGAGGCCACCGCCACGGTGGCAGTGATGGAAGAGCCCATGGAGCTCGCGGCGTCTGTGGTGGGCGGCGACCTGCACGTTCCTCCACTCCAGCCGCTCGCCGACAGCGGAGAAAGTCTGGCGGTCGCGGCTGTCGCGCCCGCGCCGGCTGCCGAGGCGAGTGCTGATGGCATCCAGGCCTACTCCTTCAAATCCTTCGCGACGGGACTGGGTCTCGGGCGGTTCGTCGCAGCGCTCGAGGCCGCTGACCTCCTCGGCAACTACGTCGACACTTGCGAGTCGCCACTCACTCTCTTTGCGCCGTCCGACGAAGCCTTCTCGAGGCTCGGCGATCTGCCTATCGACCTGCAGGTGCAGCGCCGCGCGCCGCCCGCCGGCGCGAACGGGCGACGAGCGATCCCCTCTCTCCTCCATCCATACTCTTCCCTACTCTTCTCCTTCCTCCTCTCCAACTCTCCCACTCTGTTCCTACCCCGGCCGAATCACCGGTGTGAACAGCGCGGCGATTCCCCTTGATGAAGCCCCCAAGGCGCACGCTCCGGAAACCCCGTGCTTTCGCCCACGTCCCTCGCGTGCCTGCGTAGGTGCTGCGCGAGCTCCTCTGCGTCCACATCACCCTCGGCTCCCTCTCACACGCCGAGCTCCTCAACACCCGCTCGATCACGACTATCTCGCAGCAGGCGCACCGCAGCCAGCCAGCCCGACCAGCACTTCGCCTCCGCCGCCGCCTGACGAGCGCTCCCGTCGTTGACTCTCCCCTCCCTCGAACCCCACACCCCCACGCCCCTCCCCGCCTCTCGCGCTCCTCCACCCCCGACCCTACCGCACAAGCGCCTCTTCACACCTGCGCCGCCCTTGCAGCCATCCCTCCGCCGCTCACCTCGCCCGCCACCACGCCCCGGCACGCAGACGCACCACGTCGTCCTCGCCGACGACGGCGGCCCTCCCCGGGTCCTCCAAGTCGGCTCCGCTTCGCTCGTGGAGACCGATGTGCAGCTGCCGGATGGGCGGGGTGGGCCTCCCCCTGGCCCCCCAAGCACGCGCACACACCACCATTCCTCCTCCCTCTCACTCACATCTTCCACCTCTCACCCACCTCTCCTCGCCGCCGCCTCATCCCGCCGCCTCCCCGCCCGCCGCCTCCCCGCCCGCCGCCTCCCCGCCCGCCGCCTCCCCGTCACTCGCCCCGCTCGCTCCCCCCCTGCCCCCCTCCCCTCCCCCGCACCCCGCCTACCGCGCCGGGCCCTCTCCTCTCCCTCTCCTCTCCGCACACACGCACACGCACACACGCACACGCACGCACGCACGCGCACACACACACCCACACCCACACGCACACGCACACACCACGTACGCCGCCTCACCCCCTCCCCTCCCCTCCCCTCCCTCAGGCGTCCTGCACGTCATCGACTCAGTCATGTGCTGCATCCGCCTGCTGCAGCACTGCCGGTACGAGCAGGTCTGGAACAAGACGGTCCGCCCGTCGCCAAAGGTTGGCCTCGCGGGCGAGTGGCGCCAGCGGCAGGACGAGCTGCACGCCATCTTGATCCACTGCGACACCTGGCAGCCCCGCTTCCAAGGCTTGCGCGGCTCGGTCGTCCCGCTCGGTGGCGGCGGCTCCACGGGCGAAAAGACACACAAGTCCTTCCAGGCGCGTGTGACACTTCAGAGACACTTCCGAGACACTTCCGCAGCGCCCGCTGCGCCCGCTGCGCCCGCTGCTGGATAGCCACGCGCCGCCCGGCCGCGCCCCAGCTCCGCCGGCGCTGGCCGGCCACGCTCCCCCGGCCTCGCCTCTACCTGGCTCCCGACCCCCCTCGCCTCACGCCCGGACACCCCCCCCACCCACCCACCCACCCACCCACGCCCCGCCCCCCAGGACGGCACCGTCCACTTCTCCGAGCTTCTCATCCTCGAGAAGCCGCCCGAGATGTCAAAGAAGAAGCGCAAGAAGAAGGAGGACGAGGTGGGCGACGGCTCGACGGCGATCCAGCCCGCCTCCGTCGATGGCCACCAGTCCTCCAACTACCGGATCATGTTCTCGCTCTACCGCCGCTTTGCGGCCGCCGACGGCTCCACGCCGGCGGCGGTGACGCCGGCAGACCCGGCGGGCGCGGTGGCGGGCGCGGTTGCGGGGGCGCCCGCGGGGGCGGGCGTGGCGCCGCCCGGCAAGCACCTCACCTTTTGCATGGCGCCCGAGGACATCCTCATCCGCAACTCGTTCCACATGCTCTCCGAGGCGGAGAAGAACTCGCGCCGCGCGGAGTACAAGGCGTCGGACGGCTCTGCGCGCGGGAAGTCGGGCGGCGGGCGCGGGCGCGGCTCGTCGTCAAGCCTGCAGCTGACAGGGCCGCTCCCTGTCGTGACCGCCATGTACGAGCCCGCGGGCTCCTCGAACAGCGCGATGGCGGTCGTCGTGCCGGGCGGCGGCATGGGAGGGAACATGGTCGCCGGGCGGCCGCAGCCGCCGCCGGAGCTGTCGGCCCTCTCGGTGACGGCTGGGCCGCACTGCGGCGGCACCTCGATCTGGGTCCAGGGCGCGCACTTTTGCGGCACGACACAGGTCTACATCGGCGGCGCCCTCGCGCCGCAGCTCGCGATGGTCAACGAGAACCTGCTCACCCTCGTGTCTCCGCCCGCCTCGAGCGACGGCGGCGACGTCACCGTCGATATCATGGCGACCAACTCGGACATCTTCGGGGCCGGCCACGCGCCCGTCTTCTCCAACGCGCTGCGCTTCACCTACTCCTCCAGCGTCCCCGCCTCGGGGCTGCCCATGGTGGCGCTGGCGCCGGCGACCGCCGACGCGGCGGAGACGCAGACGGCGGAGCGCGCGCTCGCGCTCCTCGCGCAGCACGCGGCGCCGCACATGCCGGTCGCGGGCGACGAGAACCTGCTCACCTCCGCCAGCTTGCCTCGCGACCAGCGACTCTTCGCCGCCGCGCTCGCCGTGGTGCTGGGCAAGCAGCCCGGCGTCGCAAAGGCGGAGAACGGCGAGTCGCCGCTCGACCGGCGCGACGACCAGTCCCGCACGTTGCTACACTATTGCGCCGCGCTCAAGAACGCGCCGGCGGTGGAGCTGCTCCTCCGCGCCGGCGCGAGCACGGCGGTGCAGGACGCCGCCGGCCAGACGCCGCTCGAGCTCGCGCGCGCGTTCGGCTGGGTCCAGGGCGAGACCTTGCTCGCGCCGGTCGCCGCCAGCACCAACGGAACCACGCCGATGGCGGGCGCCGCCGTGGCGATGATCGACGAGACCGCGGCGGTGTCGGTCGTCGACGCGAGCATCCCGATGGACGCGACCGCCGAGGCGCGGGCCGCCCGCCCGCCCGCCCGCCTGGCTCCTTCGGTGGCATGGGCAGTGAGTGGCTCTCGGCCCGCCCCAACCAACCCGCGGAGCCGCTGCCCCTTTCCCAGGTGCAGGTGCAGGTGGCGGCGACGGAGGTTGCGCCGACGACCGGCGCCCCCGAAGTCGGCGCCCTCCTCGGCCTCGGCGTCGCGCCTTGAGCTGGCATGGAGCCGGCAGAGCGGCGACCTCCCCAAAGGCCCTGCTGGGCGGCGGGGCTCTGCGGCGGCCCGCATGGCATCCGGTGCGGGAGGGGCCCCGCTAAGGCAGTGCGGGGCCGGCCGGCTCGTCTCGGTGGGGTCTGGGGGTAGGAGGCGGTATTGGGGCTGCTGGGAGAAGGGATTGCTCCGCCAGAGATCTGCCGTGCGTTGTCCACAGTCTTGCAGGCGCGGGGTGGGGTGTGAGAGAGGAGGAGCTTGATTGACACGCGCAACATCTTGGAGGGCAGGGGGAGCGGGAGATCAGCAAGTAGATCAGCGGGAGGGGCGGGTGCATGTCGTTTACATAAATAAATGAAAACACCCTCAACACTGCAGATCGTACGGAAATGCCATCTAGTTATACGCCAGGTCCCAGGAGCCCCGGGCCCGGCGCCGCGCGCGCACCCGCGCGCCCGCCACACACACAAAGGCTGGCCAATAAGCAGTGGACGGATACGAGCATGGGGAGAATGTATCGATCTACCAGAAAGCGCCCCCCCCCGTGTCTCCCTCCGCGCCCAAGCCCACACAAGCGGCACCGCGACGCCGAAACGCGACAAGCGTCACCGTTCAACGACGCTTTGGCCAGCGTCGGGCGATGGTTTGTGTGCGACACACCCACCCTGTGAGAATGCCCACATCCGCCGCTCGTCATACGACTGCTGGTCGACGAGGTGTCGTCACACGAGATAGGCACTTCGCCGCTTCCGCGACCGACGACGCCTCGCGCATGCACACCGGTGCGCCCGCCTCCCTCATGATGGTCGTCTTGTTGAGGCCGGTCGCGAAAACCATGCCCACGCAAAAGGTGGCGACCAGGGCGAGCACGAGCGTTGTGCGCAGCAGCCGCGCGGCAGGGCTGGACAGCCGGCTCAGCTGAGCCTGGGGTTCGATCATGTACAGCAGCCGACCACCTCAGAAAACGCCGCTTTTCTGCTTCTTCAACACACAAGGCGCTGTTCCTGTCCCTCCCACCTTTCACACAAAAACACAACCCCGGACCCAAGACGCACAAGCAAGCACAGACAGTCGAGAAGGGAGAGACAGCAACGACAGTCAGAAGCCAGCGCTGGGTACCAGGAAGGCGAATGCGATGACGGCCTCTAGAGAGTACTTTAGTGTCCCACTGTCCCACCTTTCACCAACAAACACCAACACCGCAAATCGAGTATCCCAGTGTGGAGTTGTGCCCTTTACGTCGACTTACACGTGTCTGGGTGCTTTACACACACGATGAGGAGATGTGCGTAGGAAAACCATGCTTTGCATTACTCTCTTAGAGATGTGCGATGTGCACAGCAGCGAGCAGGCGACGACCGACGTCTCATCTCTCGTCTTACTCATCACGTGGGCGCTAGGTCGAGGAGGGCGCCCGCGCGCACCGCGCCGGACGCACGAAAGAATGTAGCGTTGACGCATCCGAGCTCACGCGCCAGGTCTGGTTGCTTCTTCCGCGTCTTCGCGCTGGTGACGTACCGTGGGCAGAGGGTGCGCCTCGGCTTGCTCGTCGCGAGGGACGGCGTCGCCCGTGGGCAAGGCTGTGTGCGGTCGTACAGCGCCGGCTGCCGCATCATCACCTAATGACGCAAACCGGGGTGAGATGAGAACAAACGTAAGCCCGCCATAAGACGAGTCATGGGTGTGGGTTTCGTATAATTCTTCTCCGGCGACGTGTGCGGCCATGCCAGCCGTGGTGCGAGTGGTGCAAGTCGGCATATGCCATTGCCTCGGTGTGGTTGCAGATGTACTGCTCGGTCTGACAGAGGGAGCGCTTGCCGCTGGTTGTAAGCACCTATATGCCATCGGGTGACGAAGTGTGTGGCGTGTAGGGAACTCCTCCCATGGGCCACGAGGCCAGACCGCGTAGCTGTCGGCCGTCGGCAAACGGTCAAATGGTACCTGAGCGATCGACACAACGGGCTGAATTTTCCCTGCAGAGACTATGCGGACGTGTCCGGTTTCTAAGCCAGGGCGCAATTGTCTCTCTTTGCGCCCGCTTTGCGCCTGCTGCGACCGCACGTGCAAGTCTCGGAAGGATGCGCCCAGGTGCTGCTCGAGGTTCCTTGATCCGCGGGGGCCGATCGACCAGAACTCGGAGTAGACGCGCGCCGCCCATGCCTTCGCCGCCGCCGCGGTGAGCAGAATCGTCTTGTCATTGACGGCCTGAATATACAAGATGGACTGGTTATTGGATGAACAGGACTCCTTCACTGTCGCGTGTTCGCTGGTGGCCTGGGGGTATGTCGGGTCCCACGTTGCTGCCACAGGGTCGACCCACTCTAGCCCATACGTCCGGCAGCCCTTGGAGAAGGCGGTCCCGTTGGCAGCCTGTCCACAGTCCAAGGTGTGTATGAGTCATCTCTCACGCACAGCCCTTGAACGGCCCCGTCGTGGCTACCGCGAGCAGGCAGCCCTTCCTCTCCCAAAAGGCCATACGGCGGCACGCCGCCTGCGGCGTTCGTGCACCAGGCGTGTCGGTGGCTCAAAAGAATGGTAGAGAGTGGATAGACGATTTGCGTCGCCTGCAAGGCTGCGAGTCGCGCCTCGAACCAACGCAGGTCGAGCGGCCCGAGCCTATAACCTCACGGCCCTGGACGTGTCGTCGACGCGTCGTGGAAAGACAAACGGAAGAGCTTGGTCCAGGCCAGTGATCATTGTCGCTCGTCTGGAGGTACCAACCGTACCCGCCCCACTCCTCGCTCCGGTCGAGCGCCAGCCTCGTCAGCTGAGGAGGAGCATGGGGGGGAGTACAGTGAGCCTGCAGCTGCTTTGTGCTCTCAAGAGGGGTCCAAGGGTGGCAAAAGAGGGTTGCGTGAGTCAGAGTAGCGTGACGGAAGCGTCTGTGATGCGTTCCGCGCCATCTCTACGCCATGGAACTTGCGCAGCAGGTTACGCCCTGCCTTGCGGCGGTACTCGTGCTCCTCGAGCCGGAGGTCGGTATGGACCCACCTTCCGCTCGATTCACTTGAGCCCGGCCCAGGCTGCCACACATGTTCCATCCCGTAGTAGGGACTATAGTGCCGGACGGTGCTCCAACGCTCGAGCCGGAGACCGGCCGACAGGGCGGCGGTGATGTTGGGCATTGGCCCGAGGTGAAAGTAGCAGAGCCTCCCTCCTCTGATGCTGATCTGCCTCCGCACCGTCCGCTCATTGATCTCGCCGCCTACAACACAACAACTTGCTGCACAAGCACATGCACATGCACACATGAACGTGCACATGCATGTGCATGTGATTTGTGGTGTTGGTCGTGAGAGGAGACAACACCAATGGTCTTTCTGCCAGCCGCCGAGCGAGCGCCTGTTCACCTCACGACATGAGGAGACGCTTTCACGAGCACTCTGCCACAGCTTGCGAGTGCCTGCAGATCCTCCCATCCACCCGGCCGGCGCAGCGACCCATTTGTGTGCCGCCTCGGAAGCGTTGGTTGCCTGGGCGAGCTCGATGTAAAAGTCGACCCGGTATCCTGCCCAGCGCGCCTGAGATCCGACTGCAGTTGATCAGGCATGATGCGTTGTAGTCCGGTGGACGGTTACTGTGCATGTCTCTCAGCACTCACCACCTACTCAATCTCTATGTCGCGCGCCGGCTCAAGTACCCGCGAGATCTTGGACTCGAGCAAAAAGCGGTCGGTGACGCCAACGATGATGACCGCAATGGACCTCGGACCTCGCCGTTGATCAGCGTCGACAACGGTGGGCGCACGCGCTCGCTTGGGCCGCTGCGACGCGAGACCACTCTCGTTCGCGAACCAGCGGCGCCCCTTGCGATCGTATGGCATTTGTTCTGCAGCAACTTCTCCGCCAGGGTCGCACTTGGGGCAAATGTAGATTTCCTGCCAGCCGAAGGATATTTCTTTCATTTCTTTCGTCTTTGTTTCGTGCCCCACCACGGCAAATTTGCGAGAAATTTCTTCGCCCCGTCACTCCATGCTCAAGTTTTGCCCCTTTCCGTGTAAGGAAACAAGGTGTCCCCCATGTTGGACCAGGCACCGTGCGGGCCTGCCGTGCCTTGCTTGAGCCGGCAGGCCCGCGCGGCAGTGATGGTGCGCCTCCGCGGAGAGGCTGACGCTGGTCATCGGTCATCGGTCAGCGGTCAGCGGTCACCGGTCAAGCAGGTCATCGGGCGTCAGTGTCATTCAGGCGTCAGTGTCATTCGCGTCAACACAGGTATGGTAAATTTCCGGAAATTTCTCCTTCCGAACAAGGCTGTCATATTTCTCAAAATATTTCGGGAAATCTACATTTGCCCCAAGGTCGCAGGCCTACTGTCTGAATACGTTTTCCACGTATTCCAAATGACCTCCCAGAGGCCTGTATTCCACCCGTATTCCACCCGTATTCCACGTATTCCATGGAATACGCCGTATTCCAAGCTCCAAAAATGGACGTATTCCAGGATAAAATTTTCTTCGCTCCGCGAATTCAGACAGTAGGGTCGCAGGCGGCGTGGCGAAAGAAGTTTACAACCACCGAGGTCGGCCGACACGATTGTTTCGCGACGGGCGAGGCGCCAAAAAAGAACCTTCTCAGAAGTGGAGAAAGAATTTTGGCAAGCACCTAGCGCCCGCGTTGTAAAATTCTCTTCACGCACGCAGCTACTCGTAGGGGACACACACATGCTTGCGCGACCGCGTACGCAGCTCGCTCTCGCCTGGGTCATATTCAGCGTCGTCTCCACCATGTACCTCGCGCCGCCAGTCATCTCAGGCCCGACAGCCGACGATCTTGGCGTGAGCGCCGCCGACGTCTCGCTGCTTCCGACCGCAAATGCCTTCACGCAGGTGGTTCTGGCGATGCCAGCTGGCGCAGTGCTGCACCGCATTGGCGTAAGCCGTTGCGTAGCCATCGGAGCGACGACATTCAGCCTCGCGGCGACTGGCTGCGCCTTCGCGGGATCGCTGCAGGCCTTGCTAGGCTTGCAGCTCGCGTTCGGGGTCGCGGCCTGCCTCTCCGGGCCGGGGCCACTCACACTCCTGGTCAATTCGTGGTTTGACGCCAGTGGCAAAGCCTTCGCCGTCGGCGTCTTGTTCACCGCTTTCGGAGTGGCCGGCGTGCTCTGGCCGCCACTCTGCGCCTGGGTGAGCGAGGCGGCGGGATGGAGATCGGTGTACGGCATGGTTGCAGTTGCTTCGTGGCTTCTAGCCTTTCCCATTGCCGCGTGGCTGCTGCGTGATGGTCCGCACATGCCCCGGCGCGGACTGATCTCCGACGCGCGTCCGTCTGCGAGTCAAGTCACATCTCCTTCTACGCGATTCACGCCGTCGCCAGCTGCCGTCGACCTCGCTCCCCAGGCCGCGGCGGAGGTCCTGGAGCCCGCGAGCCCCACCGCCGTGCCGCCTGCAGAAGGCCTTGAGGCAAAGGCTCCTGAGCCCCAGACGCGGGCAAGAGGAGCCAAGTGCTCTGCGTACGCCTCCCGGCTGCCGTGGTGGCTCTCCGCCTGGCGCGTCTGGAGCCTGGCTGCCTTCAGCTTTTGGGTCATGTTTGTGACTCAGGCCTTCAACAACTATTTGACGCTGTACCTCGCCACGGAGGCGGACGTGCCCCTTACCACTGCGAGCGCCTACACGTCAATCATCTACGGGCTCAACATGACGGGAAAGGTGCGCGAGATCTCTGCGCGCCCACACGCCGGTGCGTCTGCGTGAGCCCAACTCGCCGATACTGCATAGGTTCTCTTTGGGCTCCTCTTCGACCACCAGCGCGCGAATGCCTACGCCATCGCCGCCCTGGCGCTGTGGGTGCTTGGATGCGCCATGGTGCCGCGCGTCAACGGCTCGGGCGAGCTTCGGCCAGGCGCGGTGGACGGCACCCGGGGTGAGGGCGTGTCACACATCCAGCTGCTGGCCTTCTCGCTCGTCTACGGCTTGGGGTATGGCGGGGTCTTCATCCTCATGCAGTCCAAGCCGTTGCAGCTCTACGGCGGCGACGCGGGCTTCCCGCACATGCAGGGCTTCTTTCTCACCTGGCAGCGCGTCGGAACCATCGCGGGCGTCTCCCTCACGGGAGTGATGGCTCGGGGCGCCGACTCGGAGCACGCAGGCTCCTTCTCCACGCCATTCAAGTGGCTGCCGCTCCTCGCCGCCCTCGCGATGGCCCACTTTGCAGGCGCTGTCTTTCAGCCAAGGATATGCACCACCTCGTGCGGCCGCGGCGTGCAGAGGGGGGTGCAGCCGCGGGAGGTCGGAATGCGATGGCAGCGGATGGCGTCGAACGCGTCGGACGATTCCAGAGAGAGCACCCGTGCTTGAGGAGGCCGTGGTCTGTAGCGAATCGTTTTCAGTGTAGAGAGAAAGTGTTCCTTCTCAATCTCTCTCTTTTAGTGTGTCGAGCGGCTCTCAGAGGCGAACGACCCGTCTGCTCTTATACATAATACGTCAAGTATTACAAGAGACACTCGAAATTCACGAACTTACCGAACTCCCTCTCAGCTCTCACTGCTCAAACGACACCTTTCACGTATCACGTAACGGCTAACGAACATTGAGGATATTGGATTGAGGTCGTGTGACTGCTCTCTGTTGACTCGTGAGGGGTGCTCGTGCTGTGTACACGCAAGATCACAGGTACGAAACGCACACATTTTGTACTGAGAGAGTCCTCGCTCTCTCACCTGCACTGCGGTCGACTGTGATAGAGATCTACCTTTCTACCTATGCAAACCCCATGCGCATCGCCGGGAGGTTGATTCAGTCGAGGTCCTCGACGAAGCCTGAGCCCATGATATCCACTGCGGCCGCTCGCGCCGCCTCGATGTCGCCAGCGGTGGCGCTCGGGCTCGGGGCCGCCGCCTCGGCTGGCGCAGCAGTCGCTGCCGACGAGCCCGCGGCGCTCACACTTTGGTGGAGCAGAGCAACGAGCTCGTGCTTTTCGACGCACCCGACGTGGTCGACGCGGCGCTCTACCAACGCGCTCTTGATCTCCTTGATGCTCATGGCGGCAATCTCGCCCGCTGTCAAGGGCCGTGGCGGCGGCCGTGGAGGCGGCTGAGGAACGCTCTGCTGTTGTCGCGGCCGATGCTCTTGTTGCTGCTGCTGTCGCGGCGGCGGCGGCGGCTGCTGCTGTCGCGGCTGCTGCTGTGGCGGCTGTGGTGGCGGCGGCTGTGGCGGCTGCTGCTGTGGCGGCTGCTGCTGTGGCGGCTGCTGCAAAGTCGCCTCCTCCTGCGCAGCCAACGCTGCCCTCTTCTCGCGCACGGCGGCCTCATGCTTCGCAACCTGCGCTTGCGCCGCCTGAGCCTCCTCCTTCGCCACAGCTTCTGCTGCCTCCGCCTCCTTCGCGAGCGCCGCTGTCTTCCGCGCGCGTTCTGCCGCGAGCCGCGCTTGCTCTGCCGCCGCCCGCGCCTGCTCGCTCAGACTCCGCGCCTCCGCCGCGGCCTTGCTAGCGCGGGCCTGCTTCTGGGAGGTCGCGCTGCACGCCGCCGCCAGCGCCGCCTCCTCGGCCCCTAGCGCCGACCGCAGTGACGCGAGGGACGCCGCTGTCGCCGCTCCGGCCGACGGCCCATCTCCCTGGGTCAGATCTACGAACCCAGGCCGCTTGGGCACGCCATCGGAGCCCCGCTTGACTCCCGCCACGCCGGCCGCCCCTTCGCCGGCCGCCCCTTCGCCGGCCGACCCCCTGCTGGCCGCCCCACGGGCCGTGGAAGAGCCGCTGCCGGCCGCGTCGATGCGACGCAGGGAGGTGGGAGGTACCCTCTCCTCTCTCCCGCCGCCCTCGTACGCCACGTCGCACGCACCGTCCGCGTGCACCCTCGTCACTCTCGCGGCGCGCCACGGCTCCGCGGCGGCGTCTGCCAAGCGAGGCGGGTGCTCGGAGCGCCGGCTGGCCGCCTCGGAGATGGAGGAACATGACGGGCGCGCCTCTGCGTCGGCCCACACCCACCCGTCCCGCAGCAGCGAGACCCACTCCAGGCCCGCCGCCCCGGTGACCGCGACCTGCACGCCGAGCTCGAGCGCGTCGAGCGACACGATTGCACCCTCGAAGCCGGCCTGGCCCGAGCCACCGCTCCCTGGAGGCGCCGCCCGTGGGGCGACGCGGATGCGGCACTCCTCGAGCGGCTGCCACGCCTTGCCCCTCAGCTCGGCGGGCAGCAGCATGTCACTCGTGTGCGAGGTGAGGATCCGCGCGTGGAGCGCGCCCGGCTGCAGCCCGGCAACGTCGCAGCTGGCGATGTGGCACACCCGAAGCGGGCCGCCGGTCTGCAACGCGACGCGCACCGCCGGAACCTTGCTGCGCTGCCGGCTCGCCTCGCACGCGTCGCCCACCCGCAAAGGCTGGCCCGCGGGCCGAGTGGCCGTAGCTCCCGGCGCCGGGGGCTTGGCCTTGGCTTCCGGAGCGGCGGGCGCGGCGGCGGAGCCAGGCGCTCGCGGCATTTGCGCGGGCGCGGGAGGCGCCCTTGCTTTCGGCGCGCAATACTCGCAGAGCCACTCCCCTACACAGCGAGGCCCGGAGCGGGATCAGCGAGGGCCGTGGAGCGCGGCGATCCCCCAGGCCCGCTTTTCCCTCGGGGAGGTCCTCTTCGCGCATCGGCGGGACGAGGCACTCAAAGTGGAAGACCTTCGGGCAGCGGTCGCAGCAGAGCAGCTCGCCGCCGTCCTTGCAGTGGTGGCACTCGCCCATCTTGCCGTCGTCGCCGATGCCGTAGTACTGCGCCTTCCGCTGCTGTGCCTACGGGGCGGGCCGTGGCACGCGGTGCAGACGCACCGCCCTCGGGGCGCCACAGCGCCCTCCGCCCGACACACCTCCTTTTGCTTGGCAAGGAGGGCCTCCAACTCCGCCTCGCCCTCGGCCAGGTCAGCCGCCTCCGCCGCCGCCTCCGCCGCCGCGTCCGCCTGCTCCCGCTCCTGCTGCGCCTCCCGCCACGCGTCGTGCCAAGCGCTAGCCTCCTCCGCGCTGCACCCCTCGCGCTGCTTGACTCGCCTTTGCCGCGCGTGCCGCTCCTCCTCCGCCGAGCGAAGCTTGCGCCGCTCGTCGGCGCGGCTCTCCCGCGCCGCCCTGCGCCGACTCTCGAGCCGCGACTTGAGCGCCTGCACCGCCTTTGCGTCCGCCTTCTTCTGCTTGGCCCTGTCCGCCTCCCACTTAGCCTTTTCCGACTCCCACTTTGCCTGTTGCGCCTCCTTCGCCGCCGCGCGCTGCTGCGCCGCCGCGGCAGCGCGCGCCGCCGCGGCGCTGGCCAGCGAGGCCGCGGAGCGCGCCGCCGCCGGCGGAGCGGTCGACGCGCGCGCCCTCGGCCAGCCCGGCTGCGGAGGCTGAACGGACGGCGCGGCGTGCTGGCGTGGGACGGGCGGAATCTCGATCTTCATGAGCGACTTGCACTGCGGGCATTGCAACTGGTACGCCTGCGGCCCCACCGTATGGTTGGCCGGGACTGTCGTGCGGATAACCATCTTGCAGTGCGGACAACTGGTCGAGTGGATCGACGGCGGCGCTGCGGAGCCGGGATCAACCCTCGCTGGAGCGGGCTTGTTGTACTGGCTCGGCGCCGGCCGCGCCGAGGCCATGTCGTAGGCGTGGCGCCGTTGCGGGTCAACCAGCGTTGCTATCGCCATGGAGAGCCGCTCCCACGCAAGCTTGGCTGCCGGATCTTGGTTTTTGTCAGGGTGGAGTTTGAGAGCGAGTTTCCGGTACGCCTTGCGTACGAGGGTCTCGTCGAAGTCGCTCGCCCCCGCCAGGCCGAAGACGGCGTAATGGTGCCTCGCCGACATCACCGCCTCCACCTCGGCGGTCGTCATGGTGGAATCGGAGCGCGAGCGCAAGACCAGGGCACCAGGCGGGAGAGTGTACGAAGTTAGTGAAGAAAAAGAAAAAAATTCGCAAAGAAAAAGGACGGCTCGACCGCAACCCGATCCCGATCATCCGGCCCGCTGGGCTTCTCAGCTCCCCGGCCCTGGATGTGAGGCGGTTGATGACTGCACTCCAAGTGCTCTCCAAGTGCGCTACTCCTACCACTTCCACTAGGATCTAGGTAGTTGCCGCGGCCGC